CTCAAGTTTCTCCTGCCTTTTCTTCACACCAGAGTCTACAGGTCCTTCCTGCACTTCCCCGACTGTCCTCCGGTCCTGCATGCCGTCTCCCTACATCAAGTCTGGTTGTGCTGTGCTAGCTGAATCTCAGTTTGCTGGGTAGCTCTACTGTGGCTTCATGTCCCCTATGTCATGCCTTCTTTTCATCTGTGACTATTCTTGCGAGGCCTTCTACCTCCTCTCCRTCTGTTGTGGTGACCCTGGCCTCTGTGACTTCTGCCATTGACAAGGGTGACCTCGTCTCCGATCTTCTTGTGCAGCCCCAGATGGTAGGCCTGTGGGCCTTACTTAGTTCAGGGTCCTGGGTCCTAGCATGCGGGCCCAGGGCCAGGCAGCGGAGGGGGCTCGCTGAGCAGGGAAGGACATGCAGAGGAACTGGCCCTGGCTGGGTGCCCTCAGACGAGACCCTGCTGGGGATGGCCAGGTGGACCTTCCTGCCCCCATCACTGTGGTCAGGCCCTGAGGATCTGCATGGCGGCTCTGGCTGGGACTCGTAGACATTCTTGTCTGGAAATGGAAGCCACATGGTCTCCTCAGGGGTGGCCACATGGGTGGAAGGATCATTTGGGAGATGAATGCGTGGAAATGAGAGCCCTGAAGCCCAGGGCACCGTGGCCACTCTGTCACCCAGAACTGTGACAGCCACTCTCCTGGGCGGTCACTGGCAGGAGTGGTACTACTTGGGGGGATGCAGAAGCCCTCTGGGAGAGGGCTCTTTGGGCAGTGTCTGGGGTCCCCTGTCCAGGCTGACTGCATATCCTTGTCCTCAGGGGATGGTAACCTGCACCTGAACGTGACGGTGGATGCCTTCAGCACAGCGCTGCTGGACACCCTGGAGCCCTACGTGTATGCCTGGACGGCAGGGCAGCGGGGCAGTATCAGTGCTGAGCACGGCCTGGGCTTCAGGAAGAGGGACGCCCTTGGTTACAGCAAGCCGCCTCATGCTGTGCAGCTCATGCAGCAGCTCAAGGCCCTGCTGGACCCCAAGGGCATACTGAACCCCTACAAGATGCTGCCCACCCAGGCCTGACGGGGCCCTACTGTGGTGTGCAGCCAGGAAAGACCACCCCCTGCTGGAGAGATCAGGAACCAATTCTGGGTTAAGGGTGCAGGACTCCCGGGCAGGCCGCTCCTCGCCGCTCGCTGCTCTGTGGAGTGAGCAGAGCAGATGGAGCTGCTAGGGTCTGCTGACCCTTTTGCCTGCTGCCAGCTTGTCCTAAACAGGCCAGGTGTGTGGGCGGATGTCCTGCTCCATGGCCAGTCCCCCTGGCTCCAGCTGGCCTGCTCTAGCCCTTGTGGAGTGTGCCCATAGYGGCCGTGGGCAGGGCTGACGAGCCCCGAGGAACCACATTACCATGATGACCTGGAGTGCTGGGTGCTGGGTGGACCTGCCATGGGGTGGAGCAGGCCTGGGACTGGTGACGAGGTCATTCTTTTCCAGAAGGCCTCGGGCTGGAGATGCCTCACCTGGCTCTGCTTCTCAGGCAGTGTTGGGGCTGAGGGGCCTGGCACAGAGGTGCGCTCTCGAGGAGACTCCTGCGGTCCTGACTCTGCAGCTGGCTGACCTGTGGTCCCTGGGCAGTGTGGGAGGTTGGACACATACTGTCTTCTTCTGTCTGTTGTGAATCTCCAGTGAAAAGTGAAATAATCACATCCTTCTCCTTGGTTCTGTTGTATGGAGTGCACCACCTGGATGTCAGGTGCCAGTGGGACCCAGGGCCTGCCTCTGCCTGCCAGCCATCAAGAGTGGCCATCCACTGAGCCCCACTGTCCACTCCTGTGGGAGCTGAGCCCCTGGGGTCCTGTGTGGCCCTCACAATGGGCCCAAGTGAGCTGGATCTGAGAGCCCCTCCCCTGCCCTGAGGGGGTCTAGGCCCCGGGGGAAGCTGCTCTGAGGAGGACACACCCTGCTGCCCCTCAGCGGCCTCCTGTTGGCCAGGGTCTTCTGGCTGTTGGCAGTTCATGTCGTGGAAGAGGTGGGTGTCCTCTCTGGTCTTGGGTCCAGCACACAAGTCAGGGGTCAGTTTCCAGCCCTTTGAGCCTTTKTGCAGGCCAGCAGGTGGCATGTCAGGATACCTGGGTGGCTGCTTGAGCTCCAGGGGCCCCAACTTGCCAGCTCAGTCTTCTGTGACTGGCCATGTCCTACCCTCCTGGCTGGGTCTGCATAGACATCCCTGGGCATGCTGCATGGGACAGGCCCTGAATGAAGCCCTGGCATCTGCCCTTTTGAGCTCATTGACAGCTCCCCACTCAGCCTCTGGCCCTCGGGATAGAGGTGGGCTCTGCCCCAGGTCTTGTGGCTGTTGCTGAACAGGCATTTGGGCAGGTGTAGGCCAGAATGGGTCACCAATACCACCGATCCTGGGAGCCCCATCCACCCAGCCCTGCCCTGCAGAGCTGCTGCCCCCAGGGCAGCTCCAGGTCTTTCTGCCTATTTGTGTGGATATCTCACAACTAGCTGGCCCAGTCAGGGTCCCACTGTCCTCAGACTTGGGGTCTGTCACCTGCCAGGCGGGGCTCACTAACCGGCCCTGGTCTGCATGCTGACCTCTGTTGTCAGCAGAGGCTGTGTGTCTGGCTGAAGCCAGGGCTCAGAGGCCCTCCCAGAGACTTGGGCTCAGCACAGGGCTGTAGTGTCACAGTCTGTCTGGATACCTTCTGCCCTCGGGAGGACACTGGTGCCTGCCAAGGTGAGGGATGGGTGTTGGAAGCCGACCTCTGGATGTGGGTGGAGTGTGGGCCTTGGAGTGTTGGAGGAGGAAGGTCCTGAGGCTGCTCTGAGCAGTGACTGTGGGGCCCAGAGTGAGCATGTGCCAGGTGCTTCCTGCCCGTGCCAGCCCTGCCCTGTCCCTGCTGACTGCTTGGCAACACCTGTGGGGCTCACAGTAGCCCAGGGGCCTGGCTGTTTCCCCTGCTGTGCGGCTTGCTGGTGCTCATGCATCAGGGGAGGGATGCTTCTTAGATGTGTGTAAATAGCTGTGCATCCTGAAGGCAGAGCCATGTGGACAGGAAACCCAGCTGCCCACTCATGTTGGTACTGAGTAATCACTCATCCATGTCAGAGGCTGTCAGTTTTCACACATCCAGAAAAACTGGTTAGAAGTAGCAGGAAAAGGTGAAAGGACCTGTCACTTCAGGGAGATGGCTCACCTCTTGGAATCTGCTGGCTGATGCGGAGTAAAAGAAATGACCCAGATGTCCCATGGAGGGCACCCGGAGCCTCCACCCCCCTGGCAGCTACAGGACAGTGTCCTGTCCTTGGTCAGGCATCATCAGAGACAGAGGTGTGCCCTCCCCATTGGAGACTCAGGCCACAGGCTCTGCCACACTCGCTTCTAGAGGGCCAGGCAGGCAGAATGTCAGGCCAGCCTGCGGGGGGGGGGGGGGGGGGGGGGGGGGGGGGGGGGGGGGGGGGGGTKGGGGGGAGGAGGTCTGGCCCCTGTGTGGCTCAGAAGGGAAGTCTTGAGTCGGTAGGCAGAGGAATGCTTTGTGTGTGGATTAGGCTCTATGATTTTACCTGCACCACAAGGGGAAGCCCCGCTGGGTAGTCTGGTGGGGCCTGTGGTTCTGGGAAGGAGGACGTCCCAGCCAGAGCGTGGCCCAGTGGTCTCAGCCCTGGAGAAGTGTGGGGTATGCAGGTGGGGGAACCCTAGAGGTAGCTGGGGAGTGGGCWGCACCTGCTGTCGGTGGCAGGGGCCATGTGCTCGGGCCTCGGTGTCTGACAGCAGTAGGCCTGGAGCTGGGCTGTGCTCATGGGGCCAGCATACCTGCTGGTGGTGGCTGCCCTGCGCCAGCTGCTAGGCTGCTCTGCTGTCCAGGGCTGGTGTGACCCCAGGAAATCCCTGCTCTTGTCTAGGCCTACAAGAGTGGCTGTCCCTAAGATCATCCTCCTGGTGGCCATGCCTCCCTCCAGGTGGCTCACGGGAATTGAAGCCAGTTGGGGAATCTAAGCTGGTGTTGCTCTGGTGTTTGGGGGGCTGCCCTGGAGGGCCCCCAGACAGCCAGCACACCCCCAGCACTGGGTGGGGAGGTTTCTGGTAGGGCCACCCAGAACAGTCCCCACTTGTCACTTTTCCTGGGGCCATAGAGTGGGTGCCCATCACACCCTCTTCTGCTCCTTCCTGGGCCCTGATGGAGGGTCCTAGGTTGGCTCCTCCAACCTCAGGGATCTGGTCTCTGCACATGGGTGCCCTGTCTCAGCCCCAGCCTTTGGGCTCAGTACCCTGTGGAGAGAGTGAGTCAAAGTGAAGTTTCTAGAAGGGTGCTTTGTGGGGTGGTGGGTGAGAGTCCTGGGTATGCCAGGACGCACCCTGGATGTTGCCAGGTGCCTGGGGCAGGTCTGAAGTTGGCCTTCCTGGCTCTTGACTAGTCCCTGCTGGGCAGAGCTGCTCCCTCCTAGCTGGCCTCAGGTGTGCAGATAGGTGCTCCGTGGGACGGTGGCCCAGGAAGTTGGCTGATACCCCCTTTGTTTATGGGCAGAGTGTCCTATGCCCAGAGCCACCCCGTGGGCTTTGTGGCTTTGTGGCCTTTGGGACAGCAGGGTAGATGGGGAGAGAGTAGCCATAGACATTCAGAGAGACTGGCAGGAGGGGTGAACCATGTTCAACCTCACAACTCTGCAAAGAAGAGAACTGGGGTCAAGCACCAGCCAAAATAGTGTGGGTGGGGTGTGGCCCTCTGTGCCTCTGTGTGCACTGGTGTGTGCTGACCTGTGGCAGCTGGCAGGGGTCCTTCTCCTGGATTTCACTGAGCCTGGGGTGGTGCGGTGCACTGGACAGAAGCCCCTCCTGTGTGAGCCTGTCAGCGCCGGCCCACTGCCATGGCACCTCCTCATAGGGGCAGGATACTGGCTGGGCACAAATCACGAGCCACTTGAACAGGAACAAACTTTATTTCTGAACTCTACCAGCACACTCCACACATGCTTCCCGGGAACTCTCCTGAACGCCACGCGGCTTCTCCTGGAACCACCAACTGGAAATCCCCCCTCCGGCACTTCCCCAACCAATGCAAACTCTCCAGGAATCCCCGCGAGAACTCCAAAGTAGTGCGAGAATGCAAAAGTAGGAGGCCTAGGCATACAGTAAAGGTCTAATATACAATTGAATCAATCCAGCATCATCTTAATGGCTCSCCTCTCAACCAACACTATTGGCAAAATGCCAGGGGCCATTCCGACTCGGCTGTGGCTCTCAGCATCTCCCCCTTCTTTTAAATTAAACAACAAGCA